TTAAAGGACTTTTACGACCCGAACCTATTTTGTTGAAAATTTGAATTAAAAAAAAAAACACTCTTTTATTAATAAAAAATTTTTAAATTAACTTATCCAAAATATTTTATATACTATTTTGCGGAATATTGTTTTAAAGACACTGTAAAAAATTCGAATGAAAAGCATGAAGACCAGAAGAGTGCTTCACGGGCCGTTCGGGAAATAACTGACTTTATTGTAAGTCCATTTATTTACGAATTTAAGCACGTTCTCAACGAATACGTCTAGCCGATTGGACATCTTTTGGCATAATTGTAGTTCGTTTAGCATGAATGCTGCACAAGTGTGTGCCTTTAAAGCGGTCACAGCAGAGTAGAGCACAGAGGACGAATCTGTTTTATAATTTCGAGCACCACCAAGCGTTGGAAAGGTAACCTCAGTGATTCAGTACTTTTCTGATAGCGATGAATTTCGCGCAAAGTAGCTGTACCAGGGCGAAAATGATAAGGCTTCCAAATCAATAGCTAGAGCGCTTGTTTAAAAAATCAATATTTTGAATAAACCCATAAAAGAAGTGTCTATACGGACGGAGACGCCTTGTCATTATAGTTGTTTGAAGACTTTTTTGATAGCCTCAGAAAGCGACGTTTAATTTTCGAGACAATGTTTGTTTGCTAGACCTAATGTGCTGTAATTTAGAAAGGTTAATGCTTAACAAACTTTTTTTCACAGAAATTGCAAAAGACCTTTCAATAAAAACTCCAATTTTCTTCCCATTTTAATTTCTCTTCATACTTTCAACCGTTTCAGATAGTTAGCTTAGCTGGCTATTAGATTACTATGTCTTCTGTACCCCTTATTTATTAAATTTTCCAATCAGCGTTTTTTTTTTTTTTGCTACATTGTATTAATATTTAAAATGCATTAATAATTTAAAAAGCGACAGTAACTAATTAAACACCTCAATGTAAAAAACAATATTTATTACAAAGCATATTAATATTACAAAATATGAAAAAATAATAATACATATAAATTAAAATTATTCATTCATTCTCTCTAAAGTTCGGTATACTAATTAACGGCGTTTGCAGTGTTTTCTAATGCGAAGCAGTAATAATTCCGCGTCATTGTAGAATAAATTTGTAACAAAATTCAATTAAGCAGTGGACTGTAACCATAAAAACGAACTTGTGAGCACAATTTATGTGTCACAATGTACATACGTACAAGTAAACAATACAATTAGTACTAGATTTAGAAAAACACTAATTTGAAATACGATTGAATAAATTTAAAAAAGTTTATTAAATATAAAATGAAAACTTTTTCAAACTGTAAAACAGCAGAAGCTATGTTTTAATAAAAACAATGAGAAAGCAACAAAAAGTATGCTTTACATTTTGCATCAATTTACAAAAAATTCTATTTTTCAGTTATGTATAGAATTTCAATTTTTTTTTTTCCTTAATTCTAATAAAAATATTTTCTACAATCACTTTTTAAAGGATAGTGGTATACGAAAGTTCTCGCCCGTCCTTTTGCTTGCCCGTGCATTTGTCGACGATTTGTCCGGCCAGTCTGAAAAACTTAAAATAGAAATCTCTAACTTTGCATACACATTGCTTCACTTTCATCCTCCAAGCTCCAGTTTAAAAATTGATTTTGATATGTCGATAATCAAGCCCAAAAGAAACAAAGTAATAGAGTATGAAATGCACACAATATACTGCCCACAACGTAGTAGAAATATTCATCAACGCATTTGAAATGCCAGCACAAAAGTAGCGAAGCTAGCTATAAGAGCCTTTCACCTGTCTGCATATAATACCTAGATATCGAAGATTTATTAAAATTTCTATGCTTATATAGGGAGAAAATGTATTCTAGAAAATAATGTACTTATATATATATTGCTTGTCCGGAAATTTCATTATTATTTCACTTGTATTTATTTCAGCCGTAACTTGGTTAACCAATCTTGATGCTCGTTAAAGTAAATCGCGAAGAAAGAGTGAAATGTCATGATTGAATTAGATTAACATCAACGTGTAAACGAGATGTGATACCATAAGAAAACGGAAGATAATTTTGTTAAGGCATCGTCATGCGGGAATAGTAGCACTTGAGGTAGTCACTTCTAATGCTGCGATTGAGTAAAACTTACCAGTAATTGCGTGTTTTCGTGAACATGTATATTTTCTTCATTAAAAATTCCTCAAGAAGAAGGCTAGTTAGTCAAAAATATCTCTGAGATCTCTAATGGGTCCTGGTGCCCATACAATTACATACTTATGCTTTCTTTCGCATAATCACTTTAATTCATATAGTCTCCCATAGCATTAAGCCAGCTGTAAGTCCCTTTCTTAGTTTGTTCTCTTGAATTGTACCAATTAACGTCGCAGTGCAAAGCATGGACCAGAAAAGTCGCACAAGAAGACTAATCACATCTATCTAATCAAAAATGCGCGAAAAGGCATTAAAACGCAACTACACAAAAAGCCTTGTGTGACACTTCGGAACTACTTCTTCGTCCCAGTCAATCTCAACCTCAAAGGTGGCCATATATTTTATTTATTCTTGATTAGAACGAAGGTTGAACTTAATTTGGAATTGTCTGTCTGTTCTTATGGCCTTAGGTGCTGCATCGTACAGCGTTACAAAAATTGATATGGAAATCTGATAACATTTAGATACCATTATCATCATCACAGTTTATACAGGCCGAAGAAAAAAATTGTAGAACTAAAAGTGGGATAACTTGATAATTTGTTGCTTTAGTTTGCGCCCGTAGGTAGTATAAGTCGACTACCGCAAGCAGGTTCACAATGCTTGAAGAACTAAGTAAAGCATTGATTTTTAAATATTTCTCAAACATTACTCATGGCCGTATGAAGCAATCGCCATATTATCGTTATCAAAAAAAAGTTGCATGGGGCGGTAATTATCGCTCATATCGATTAAAGCTTTTTCACATTTTTAAAACCAAAAAAGTATATAATGAATGCCGTAAATTCAAAGGCATTTTTCAATTGATTAAAATTTCTTTCTTCCTTAAAATTATATATTTGTAAACGGTTCTTTTTTCTTTCATTGCACTTTATGATATACTTTTTTGAATGGATGTAGATTATATTAGGTTGGCGATAAAGTTCGGTCATATTTTGCACGCATATAATATCCGAATTTGAGGATATTTGATGTGTTGGTAAAGAGGTTAAATTTGGATTAGTGTTGAAGATGGTCCACCAAACGTCATTATCGCCCAGATCGGTGACCAACTTTGCTGGGGCTAAAATATTCCGAAAGAAATTCGGCAATTTATTCTTAGCAGGTTCGAATACTTACAGCTACAGTTTCTCAACGCGTCACATAAGTTTTTACAAGCAAAGCGATGCATCGCTTCGTTTCTGGAACTCATATCAAACGCACTTTATCCGCTGTTTTTTTTTTCATTCTCCACTTCTTAATTAAGTGATGAAGGCTATTGAAAGCCCTTGCATCCTACCAGAAGTACGCTAAGTAATAAGACCCCACACGAGGCATTTCATCTGCTTGCGTTGATCTGGCAAGTAAAATTACCTGCATGTAATAAGAGATGTCAGAACTTTCCCACCAATCTATTATAAAAGTTTGCGTATGTGATTGCGTGTGTATGTTATGTATGTAAATTTAAATGTCATTATATGGCACAGTGCTTTTGTTTTATCATTAAAATGTCTACATGTGAGATATTATCAATTTAATGTTATTAAAAATAAATGAGCCCTGTTTTTACAATATCTACTGATAAGACTATTGCTGGCTATTTTGTTGTTGCTCGCTATTGCCTATTAAGTCTTATCATATGATAAAGGAGAGGATTGCCAATGATTTTTATCGTAATTACTGCATAATTATTTATAAAATTATTCCGGTTATTAAAGGAATATTGTATGGAAAGTTGTTAATGCACATCGCCTTTTTAAAGATTAAATGTGATAGAGTTAAAACGCAGGTTAACTCCAACGATATCAAAATAACTGTTTGAACAGGAAAAATTTCATTTAAAATTTCATAATACTTTTAAAAATTCATTTGTAAATAGCTTTGAGACAATAACTAATATTCCTTAACTAAGAAATTGTAAATTTTATCATCCCTCCTAAACGTTCCATTCTAGATTCCAAAAGCCGCATAAGAATTGAAAAAAGAGATAAACGGCGTAGTCGAAGAACGAAAAAAAAAAAAAAAAAAAAACTGGAAATAATAATTCAATGAATACAAACAAAATTACACAAAATTGCCTTTACAAATATGTATTTAACAGAAACATGCAGGAAGTACAATCATGCTAATAAAAGGAAAAAAAGAAAAAAAAAAAAAAAAGAAGAAGAAAAAGAAAGAATTCGAGTCGGCTGAAAGACTAACTGACAGATTTACTTCACTAGTTATTGTGTGCCCCATATTATGTATGGGAATAGTTGGCACTATTTTCAATGCTGGCGTTGTTTGACTATGTAGAACTTCATGCTGCTTACACATCCTGTGTACAAGTTCATGTTTAAGTGCCTTTCTGCCTGCCTGGCTGCATTGCATGCCTCCATCTTTCAACTTTTATGATTTCTCTAACACAGTTTACCGTTATTATTGAAGCAAGAAAAATTTTACGAAAAAAAACTTTACGAGCCATCTTCGCATCAATAAGTGCAACTTTCAAAAGGTTTACTTAAGGTAAATAGACAGTGAGTAGCACGTGCTTTATTGGGTAGGCGCTCAACAAAATTAAGTTAAAAGGAAAATTTAATAAAAAGAAAAGAAAATAAGCATAATTTTTCAAGAGTTTTTCATCTACCTTCCGTGTTATCAGCTTTACTCTAGAGCATAATAATTATATGTAGAAGTCTTAAATAATAATTACAGGCCACTTAAGATAAGCATCGAGAGCTCTTTTATTAACTCTTTACTTGATAAATTTCCATCGTAAGTCATTTATCAAGAGAGATAAAATAAAGAGATATTAATTCTTTTATTTTCTCTTTTTTTGAATTGAATTGACATGATATCGTATGTAAATAATATCTTGTGTGTCACTTCTCCGACCAACTCTGTTCACAAATTTAAAAACAAAATCGTAGCATTAGTGTGAAGGCTACGGATAAGATGTATTAACCTATAGAGGTTTAGGGGAGGTCAACAAATGGGACGTCTGTATAATCCACAGGTGTAGTTCGGCAACATCGACATAGACACCCGGATATTTAGGATCAGCACAACCCTCCGACCACGATACTATACCAACTAGAAGGCCATCAGATACCAACGGGCCACCAGAATCTCGTTGACAAGCACTTTTCTCCGCGCCAGCAGCACAAATCATTGATGGTTTGATGCTAGACCCGTAACTATACGTAGAGGAAGCACAGTTACTTCGACTAATAATTGCAACCTCAACCGATTTCAATTGATCAGGGATATCAAGGGCGCCCTCAGAAGTGATGCCCCATCCAGAGACAATAGCAGCAGCATTGTCGTCAGGAACAGCGGTAGCGAGTTTAATAGGCTGAATCTTCGTGCTGAAGCGCAACGGAGAAGATAAACGAAGCAGAGCAATATCATTAACTATCGTTTGTGAGCTGTAGCCGTTATGTATTTCATAATTTCGAACTTTAATTACCACTCCCCCTGAATGCCATTCAGAAGAGCCAGCACGAATTCTTACATCATCAGGGGCGTCGACAAGGCAGTGGGCAGCTGTTATTATAATATATCGATTATAGATAACACCACCGCACCGATGTACGCCATTGGTTTGCACAGAAACTTGATAAGGGAATGACTTGATATCACTGTCACTTCCACCGACAATTCGTGGTTCTGGTTTCCACGACGGTGTACTACCGACGAAAAGACAATTGACTAGCGACAATAAAACTATGAACTTGTACATTATACCGAATTACTGAAGATTTCCGCAGTAATCGTTGGTTTTTATAGGCGACTCCAATGATTTCAATAAGATGCACTTTAGATAAAATTGATTAATTATAGTCATATCGATTTTCGAAAGAGGCAACCTTGCTACTTAATATCTGCTACGACATATGACAAAAGTAAAAGATTAGATACCGTTTAAAAGTTTTCTAACTGAAATTTACGTTAGAGAGTCTCTGGTACTTTATACCCACGAATAGATGCGAGGGGAATAAAAGATTAGATACCGTTTAAAAGTTTTTTGTAAAAATACGAGAGTACGTTAATTTTGTCAACTTGTTCGTAGAACAAAGTGAAATTTATTGGCGAAGACTTCAGGTTGCTTGCATTTCTGAATAACATCCACTCTCAACTAAATGTTGATCGATAAGGTTCAGCAGCGGTTTTTACAATTTTGATAAAGCTGTCATATGCTTAGTAAAGACAATGAAAATGATTTAATGATTCCAAGCAAACTAGAATGCTTCTGGATTTTTAAATCATTATTAAGAAAAGTTTCCTGGCATGGGCTTCACTAAATAAGTGACGAAGCTTGGCACCTCTATCATGTCAAGCCAATGTATAAAAGTTGCTGAGAATTATTTTAATGTTGGCTCTGCCATTTGACCAACTCACCAATTAATTTTGCACGGAGTGGCTCTGAGAAACATTTGTCTGCTATAGAGGGATACACAACATTAGTTAATCAGTAGTATTTGCATCAGTGCCATGTCAGCCGCTGCAAAGCACAAAGTGATTGTCGTCTATAGACAGGAGCCGTCGCGGAATAGTTAACTATGACACTTAAGAGAATTTTTCGAGTCAATACGATTCAAAAGTGTTTTATATCATTACTCAGCGAGATAGAAAGACTGTTCAACCTTAAACATTTTAGCTAAACATACAGGCCTAGCAAATATAAGCATCGACTTTTTACATTTGTGTTCTCTATCGAGTTGGAAGATCGATTTTCTAATTAGAATTTCAAATTTTCATTGCTAAGCACCTACACAGACTTGTCTAAAAGTACTTAGCAATGATTTCGATATCATTCCTTAAAAATTGCTTCTGATGGAAATTTGATTAAATTAAAAGCCATCGATCCTCAAGATTTCATTGACAATATGCTCCTCTTGCTAATGGAATTTTCTATGCCAAAGCATAAATATGCATCGTGAACATGCATTGCGAGACAAACGCGTGTGCACACATTTATATAGAAGCAGTAGCACTCAGCAATCATCAAAATTGAATGTATCTGCAATAATTTGCACTGGAACGGAAATTCTTGTTATTGCACTAAATTTACAATAAAGCGTATACGGAAAGGGGGGGAAAAAAAATGAAGAAAACACAAGTTTTGAATGAAATAAGTGAAAGAGCAGACAGCTACAAAAATTGTATCAGTGCTTCTAACTTGGTAGAATCAAGTGAAAAGTTAAGATAAGGTGAAATGCAATTTAAAAGGCAAGTGTTAACAAAAAAAAAAAAAAAAGAAAAATAAGAAAAAAGGAATAAAGCGCATCACACTGTTGCTTGGACTATATCGAACTACGTCATTGCTATACCGCACGCACGCTTTTCCACGCAAATGCATAACTCAGAGAAATAAATGAAATAAAAATGAAAAGAACATAGGAGAACGACCTCAAAGTGTAGCTGTAATAATGTATATCCTCCGAAAGAAAGGAAATACTAAGCAAAAGCAGAAAGATTAAAAAAGAAATGAAATAATGCCCTAAACTAAACGCTCGAAATGGAAGAAAAAAGAGAAAACCAAAAATCAATTTTCAATTGAAAACATTCCACAAACTAAGAATGCGGTCAATTTGCCAAACTCGACGATTTAACTTTTCGGATTCGTTTAGATTAAAGAAAGCAAAAAAAAAAAAAAAAAAAAAAAAAATACGTAAAACAAAAGTCATCTTAAACGCTTACTCGCATGAACATGTGAAATTTTAACCACACGGTCTACCAATGACGGTAATGGGAAAAGAAGGCAAAAATATTTCGTATCGTATTGTAATTGAAATGTTATGGTCTTTTATTAGACTGAGACCAACGGAACCAGATATCATTGCTTAAAGAAAAAATTTATTACTGTCTCACTCTCTTTATCTCTATCGCTTTCTTGATCTATTTTATGTCATACACAACACAGAACATATATATATTCATTATATGCTGGCAAGTACTTAACCACTTGTGCATTGGTTATTATTGCTACTCTACTTATTTCTTTGGTTATCAAGCTAGTGAAAAGCATTCTCGACCGCAATTTGTACGTTATATTTGACTTTGATGTGGTTTACCAGATGTCCAGAACATCATCCAGTTGACTTTACGCACAGATTGTTATAAAAGTTAATATCACAAAATTCATACTACATTTGAAAGCATTACATTATGAATAAAACAATGCAAGACTAAAAAAAAAAAAAAAATAAAAATAAAAGTAAACGAAAATCAAAGATTTGAGTCTTTTTTTTTTTTTTTAGTTTTTCATTTCCATTAGAATTCATACGGGGTTACATTTATTCCGTTAAATAGGAAATGTTTACGAACTGACAGAGAAATTGCCTCTAGAGAGTTGTTTATTATGAACTTTTTCTATTCATTATATATCCTTTTTTTGTTTTTGTTCTTTTCTTGTTCTATAGATGAGTACGTTATTATATTTCCTTTCTCATGATGCTTTATCAGTTGGCTGGCAATATGTAGATGCACTGTCTTTTGGTTAAATGTTTTCTTAGATCGCAGAACGCAGCAAAAAATTACATAAAGAGGTGTATTCTGGAATTACGACAGGTCGCTTATGTATACTTAAATACATATTACAGTTTTTTACTCAAGCTTAATATACCCTTGTACCACAAGCAGCGTAGGTTATAAAATAGGAAAGGAAAGTCTCTCTGACGGATTAAGCATTACTGTTAGTATGGTAATAAGTGCTTTTTCGAATATGTATAAATATAGAGGATTTAAAATTTCGATAATTTAAATATGTTTATACCCTACACCAGTTGTGTGCGGTACAGGATACATTAAGTTAGTGCGATCGCATGTAATTCTCAGAAAGGCTTGAGATAGACCCCACCATATATTATACCGATCGATTTAAAATCATAATCTGAACTGATCTAAGCCTGTCTGTCGATTTGTTTATCTGATGTCTGTCCATGAAAGAATACAGATCGCAATTTCTCAGATAATTTAAAGAAATTTGATACAGTGACGTCTTTTGACCCAACGACGAACGCTACTGAAGATAGTTCGGATCGGCGTGCTTTTTCGACCACTCACCATATAACGTCCTCTTCTGAAAAGTCGTTATATGGAAAAATGTTGTAATTTTCATAATTTCCCGACAAAATTGGTTAAGTAATACTATTTCGTTATTGTAAATTGGTATGAAAACTTTAGACTGGTAGGGGCAATTTTTGAACTCCCTCTCATATAACGAAAACTGAAGTTCATACGAGAAAACTAGTAGCAATTTAACGTAAGAAATTAACTGTAGCATATTTGGACTATCTCGGTCTATTTTTTGCACCCAACCCTAACAAGGATTTTCACGAAAATTGATATTGTGTAGAGCGGAAAAATCTAAGTTTTAATAAATAGTGACAAAAATTGACCCGTAATAGTAATTTCACACAAAATTGAACTCTACAAAATTTAGACCATCTACGCCTATTTTTGGATCCTACCCTATATAAGGATTACATTTGTACTACATTAGGTTGCGTTTTGGGCCCGCTTTCCAAACAAGATGTAATTTTTGCGTTCCATAATAAAGAACAAGAATTGTGTTAGACAATGTGCTGTAGAGTATTTAATGGTCGGCCTTGTCTGATTACAATGTTCTTAATTGTTTTTTTAAAGTTAAGATTGTTTTAGAAAGCTTAGCGTTTAATTTAATATAATCGAAGGATGCTGATGGTTTTGAATGATGGAAGAGCCAAGTTCTTAAATTGTGGAGAAAACAATAAGCGAAGAAGAGACAGCGGAAGCAGCCTACAGAGGAAAATCTTTGTCAATATAATGTTGATTTGGTGTATGCAAAACGAAGCTTAATTAACTTGGAAATGTAATGCCATCGAATTTTACAGTTTGTTAAATAATTGCGAGCGGAAATTTTATTACAACTTCTAGATCGTAAAAATGTTGGCTTATATGTGTTGCAACTTTTCTAATATTCACTAAAGCCTCTTTTATTCGTCTATAGCACGATAGTTGCGATGTATCGTCTTGCAATTCGATTGACAGGCAAAGTCAATCATTTGAATGAAAAAATTAACATACAAGTCGATTCAGATGTAATTTCTGTTCTTACTTCACCCACTTATTTTAGCAGCTTAAACTTCAACTGATATAGAATGCAAAAAAGAAAAAAAAAAAAAAAAAAAAAAAACGCTACCACAAACACAAACCTACGCACCGAAACATTCTCTTGTAGTGGAATTTTTACGTAAAATTAACTGCTTTCTGCTTACATATATACATATATATATATATATATATATATGCATATTGAAAAGTAATATGCTTTGAATGTAGATGCATTTGTTTATTTGTTTGGTTGTTTAAAATATCATATAAATGATAAATTTGCAAAAATAAAGCCATTGGAAATATTAAGCGAATGTATAAATATGATGCTCCTTGTGGTGTGTCGATAATAAAAACAACAAAACGACTGCAAAAGAAAACCATAATCAGTATAATAAGATCTCTCTATAAATATATGTGTATAAACAAGAAGCTGGATTTAAGAAAAATGGGAAAGAGACGAGAACCACAATCATTGTTTATCCGAAATACGATACCAACTTACTACACAGTTAAGTAAAACCACCAACGATTCCCCAATCGACTGACTGGCAAAGAAATGATGCAACCGTTAGTGAAATAAAAAGAAAACCGCACTTCACTGTGAAATGATAGGATAGAAAAAGAGGTAAAAAAAAGAAAAAATAAATATAATAAAAATTTCAAACATAAGTAAGTGTTTAATGCATATCAACGGGATGTAGTTGCGTAATGAAAGAAAAATTGATGGCAAAAAAGAACGTAAAGAAAGTAAGAGAATTATATTCACTCTCTACTGAACCTTTGATGCGTTCCCAAATTGATGCATAAAATTCGCAATGAGTCTCACTCGTTATTTGTTTACACATGAACTCAGCCTATTTCGGCATTGTCAAATATACTAAGAAAGAATTTTAGGTAAACATCTTTTATGAACACTTAGTTACTGATTTTTTATAAAGTATTGCCATTTGCAAGTCTGTTCTTGCCAAATAAAAATTCTCAATTTTCTAAAACATTTTATGTGATCAACCATCAACCAAGGACACAAAAAGTTACAAGTCGCTCAAGCTCTGATCAAAATAATACATACTTCTGAATGCTACGAACTGAAGAACACATCTAGGGATGAGTGTAAAACTCAACATCATTCTAAGAAAGGTGAACGATCCGACGTAATGATAACTAATTCGATTATAGTCCCTGAAGTGCCGAAGAAACATATGATCCCTCAGCGAGACAAGGTTCAACGGAACAGTCGCTTCACTAATTGTAGGAATGGGATCCCGAAACCGTGCTTATTTTGAATTTTTATACGAGGCATTCTCATTAATCTCAAGCTTCTATTGCATTTAAAAAAAATTGAAGAAGAATAAGTGACGCAAGCGCAGAGGTACTCGGGCTGCTATTTAGGTCAGCCTCAGTTTAAGTTATCTCATAAAATTAGAAGAAATTTGAAGATTTTTAAGGACTAATCATTCTACAACACTTCACTTCACTCCAAGGGAGAACGCCCCCTTTTCCAGAAGGTTATGAATCAGCTCTTTAATTCAGCTTTGCTTTAAAATCTGTAAAATCCTGGCCGCATGGACGCGACTGTAATGTAGTCTTTTAATACGCGTTATTGGGCCGGCGAAAGCGGCTTCACCGGGGTTAACATCACAGACAAGCAAGAAATTCGGAAGAGAGAGAAACCCTAGTTGCGAGTTTACGTTCCGAGTGCCGCTTTGTTGTCGCGAAGAGAATATCGCACTTAGAATACCGTCCTACAGCTGGCTGCTGGGCATGACTACGATATCCTGACCATGAGCGACCGCGCCGTCAAGTAAAGCGCGTCTGAATCTCTCTTGTCTATCTCTTTCCTGCTCCCTACCTACCTGTGAGCTGAGCTCTGCGGATAATAGTAATAGGGTCCAGCGAAGCTTTCTTACTCATGTTCAGAGCAAGCCCGATTGATTGGAAACAGAGAGAGAGAGAGAGGGAGATATAATTACCGTAACTTTGTTCATCCACCCACAGTCCACTGACTACCCTATACCATTTGTTCCCTGCCTAATGTAAAGAGGCCCGATATACGCCGGTGTCAAAGCCTTCAATGCTACGTATACCACATTTTATTCTTGCATGCAGTATTTGCGCTTATATTGGGTACCAAGGGATCTTCCTTCTACTTCGCTGGCATAATTTACCTTCATTTTATTAACCTTTTGCACTCTTATGTCGACTACTCGTAGATATTTTAATTCCTATATCCATCTAGAGCCGTTTTATTACATTACACATTTAGTAATTAAGGAACTATGGGTACATAAAAGGAAAAGTTGATACAGATGTGCAAAGATTTAATGTCAGCACTTGCCACGTTAAGAATTCTGAAAAACTTATTATCACTTTCTTCTCAGTCGATATATGTTATCAGGTTCGAAGATTGTCGTGATTTTATTTAAAACTAACGCTCGCATATTAGAAATTGGTCTCAAAAAAGTAATATTGAAAGACAAGAAAGTGTTCGTGTATGTATGCGTATTTGATATGAAATACAAAAACATACCATGCAAACCAATCTCGAAGGCAAAAGACAAAAAAATACATTTAAACGCCAGAAAATGTCATAAAAAAATAACTTGAAAAACTCATGCAATCTTTAGACATAGTTTGTGTATATGTATGTCTAATACGAATGTATTAATGTCTTGAACGTCTAAATGAAAGCAAACCAAAGTAGCGACATTCCAAAACCACTGAACCACTGGTCATATCTTCTGTTTTTTAAACACGTTGCAAATCGTAAAACGAATTCCAATCATAAGATCAACTTATAGAGGTACGTGTGGGGAAAATTATCTCTTTCGCCTCCGCTTCCATATAAAGTCTTTGCAACTATTCTTCTACGGCTTATAACATGCGGTCAATACAATAATATGGTTTATAAATATCTGAATGACTAGCTTACTGGTTCGTTGGCTAGCTGCCGGACTAGTTGCAGGATTTGTTCTATAGGGTCATCAAGAATTGAGACATTCCTTGTTTTTTCTTTTTTCTTTTTTTGCTTAATGTTCAATAAGAAGCGTGAGAATTGTACGGCTGGCTGTGTGTGTGTGTATATTTGTGCTACCATTACCATTGTACTGAGATTATTGCTTTCGGGCGTTTGATACGGTTTTTGTCCGATGCACATTGTAGCTCTGCTGTCGTACTCTTCTTCTTCTGTCGCTGTCACTCCCTCCGTATGACCACCAACGTGATAAGAATTATTGCAAACGGCATAAATGACAGTGAACTTTAAACATCTGGTATTATTGCTGCTGTTGTTGTTGTCGCATACAAAAAAGAAAGAAAATGTGTCGTAAACTTGGCCAACCGTTCAACCATTCAAATCAACACAATTCCAATGCGTTTTCGCATTGTTTTATTATTATCGGATTGAGTGCATATTGTTTGCCTGAACGACTAGCTGCAGGAATTATTTTCATATATTTTCTTAAGCACATTTATTTATATTTATCTTATGATATAGCAAATAAATATTCATCTATATACGAAAAAATATAATAACTTTGTCGTATCGTATATATCATCCAAATATCTTGCACATTGGTGACTTACATACGGCACTTTAACAGGCAAGCATGCAGCTTATTAAGCTAATGCTAAGAGGTCTGTAAATGTACAGGAATTGTTTACATAAATCTATTTACCCTTTTTTTTTGAAAATTTCATGGGAGAAATGTGAAAAATCGCATAAACTGATGTTAAAAGTTTGCAAAGAAATTTCTATCAATTTTTTTTCCGTTTACAATGAAAGATTTGTCATTTTCATAAAAAAGAAAATATGCAAAAAATATCATAAAATATATATATATGTGCCCTTTCTGGTGCTTGTATGAAGTAACGCCGCACCCATACATTGAGATTGACGTTTGTGAGTCTAATACATCTTTCTACACGCGCTAATGGCTTTAAAATTCGTATAGTGCCGTGGACAGAAAAAGAGGTGAATTTTTCATTTAAACTACGCAAGAACTATGAAATTACGATATTTTTTTTGTAGGCCGGGGTAGTGCTGCTTTTGACATCTATATAGAGTTTCATGTCTATATATTCATTTGCGGTTTTATGCCCTACTTTTGATACGAAGGTATATTAAGTTTGTGCGAATATATGCAACAGATCAGATCCGGAAGGATCTGACATAGACCTACCTTTCATATATAAGTTTGTCCATCTGTTCAATGCATTAAGCGAAGCGGTGTCGTGGGTTTTATGGTGGGCTGTGCACTAATTGTTTAATTTCGCTACTAAGGCTAATTAAGCTATAATTCGGATTGCACTCACCATCTAAAGTGGTTTTGAGGTTATATTCCGATTTAGTCGTTCAACTTTTTATAACCTTTATATAAACGTTAAATGAGACCAATAAGAAATTTCATTGTAACCTCTTTATAGCAGCCCCGCCACCTCCTCCATCCGTAACATTTTCAACAAAACGTGAAAGTTGGTATTACCTGATATACCGTTAGAATATATGCATTTATTTGGTACATCGACATGTTTTGGATTCGGATAGGATCACTTTTTCGGCCACTTCTCATACAATGCTTCACTTTGAAAAGTGAATAAATGCACTAAGCAAAATTCTGCAAAGTATCTAATAGTTGGCCGTAGACCATTGTGGTGATTTTACTTGTTTTAAGAGCACAAAAGTGACTTTTTCGATTTTTACTATGTCTGTGAATGAGTGACTTCTGACTAGCAAGCCATGACGGAACAGGTTATTGCGAAAGATTAGACATAAGTACATCCAGACATATGACCCGAAAAAAATCTAGCAATCGAGCGAAAATCGCGTAAAAAATGAACCAAGGGCCAAGAAAGACAACACCAAAGTCGTTACTACTTCGTATACTACGTATATAATACGTACGTATGGTTTCATTATGAGAATCTTCCACCAGGCGGTGCTCTTAACGAGAAACATTACTTGAGAGTTAGGAAGATGATGAGGGGGATGGAATTAAAAGATTTCCAAGAATATATAAAGTGTTTTCACTTTATAAAGAAATTCACCTTAGTTTTTGATCACAGAATACTAGCCTAAAGTAATAAACTCATCTGTTCGCCCATCTGTGCTTGTTCTCATAACAGTAAAAGTTCACATCATCCATTTCTTCACTGTACAGCCCCAAAATAGTAATAAATATAAAAAATATCAATTTTTGAAAAATAAGTGACGTCTGTCTTTAATTTGGAAATTCTAACAGATCATTTTTCATATTATCTCGAAATTTTCATTAAAGAACGAACATTCGAATAAGCAAATCGTAAAAGAGGGGAAGAGCAATTTAATTGTACCTGCTTTAGCCGCGACTTGCGTGCGTGGTGTGTATGGACTAGAAAAATTTGCAGAGAAAGGGGAGTAAGACAAACATCCTGTATGTTGGCTTCCACAAATATTCAAGAGTTTTGTGTGCATATCCGCCTTTCAGAATGTCTGGCCACACTCGCCATATCGATAACTTCATTTCCCCCTCCCATGTAATTAACAGCATTAACGGGCAATCAATGATTTCGGAGATTTTCTTCCTTTTTCGGCAATATAGTGTCACTCATACAAACATTTGGTTTGTTTCTACTCATGTCGAAAAATTTGATTTTGAAAACGGCTTCGAGGCTTTCACGTCTGCTTTGCTGACATTTCGTTCTTATAGACAGTATTTAAGATGAGTTCTCCATACAGCTTTCATTATTTCATAAATTTTTGCAATTTTTAAACCGCTTATCTACATTAGTTTGCAAAATGCTGTATGCAAAAGCGGAACAGTAAAAGTTGCTCAATGGTTGGTTATTTTGTTTATGGCAGTTGAAAGTATACCCTCGACATCCTAAGCCGATTGCGCCAAGGTCTTTGGTTTATTAATGTATAATAGAGTTTTTAACTTTCAAAAGTAAAACTGTAGACGACATCCTGCCGAACTTGCTTCTAGGTTATTTCAATGGATACACATTGCGCGGAATCATCATTTACAGTACGCAAAAGAATCCTCTTATAATATGTGGTTAATAGCCTATCAAAATGAGCAATGCACGAGTACAGAAAGAGTTCTGTTCAAAAATGATTTTTGCTTAAAACCATTCTGGCGCCATTAGACAATTTCTTGGAAAGCATCAATAACTCTTGATATAGGTTACGTTGTATTTTAAAACTACACATCTATTGAAAGATGGATGCGTGCCTATGTGCGTACGTGTGCACATACATTTAACATGAATGCAAAATTATTCAATATATTACACACCGCTCTCCTGTTCCTATAATACCGTCATGGCAAATAGCGTAATCAGCACCAATATCAGCCAAGGACAGAGGAACATCGAACACCTCCTTCAATCAATATCGGTATATTATCCTTAATATCGCGAAACACGTGTTCTCGTCTGTGTACTTATCACTACTAATAACACTTATCATATACTACTACACTTGCATAAATTATGATCAAAATACCATCTACAATATGATTAGTTGTGTGTTTTTTTATTAGTTTCGTGTATTTTCGTTGTTTCTGTTTTTGTTTCGTACGAGTGTTGCGTGATATATATATTTATGTATATATATGTATATATATATCGAATATGTATATATCTTGAATAATTATATTGTGTTGATGATTTAAAACATACCTATGCAAAATCTATCACATTTCATATCGTACGTACGTTTTACGATATTACTAAGCTGAACAAATGTAGCGGTAAATAACTTGAACTAAAACATTCATTTTAATTTTTTTTTTTTTTTGTTGTTTACAGTACGATAACATAAATTCATGCTTAAGCCAATTACGTTCGCATGCGGTTGCTGGCTTGGATAATATCACCACGAACGACATCTGCTGTGGACGTTTGAAGGCAGTTTTGGCTTTGTTCTTTGCTTTAAGTCGTTACAAGCAACAGTCAAAGCAATCAAAGTGTGTCAACAACACAAATGGATTTTCGATAAAAGCTGAAATACACCAACAACCGCAGACGAACACCTTAAGCGTTAGTGTGGGTGGCGGAGTTAGCGAGAAAGTAAGCAACAGTTCAGCCACAGCGTTATTAGTGCAATCCATGCAAAACGGAAACGACACGACAATGGTGAATAGGTGAGTTTCTCTTGTAAATCTTGCGTTTCTGCTAACAACCTGAACGAATATAACAATCAATGTATTTGTGTAGAAAATCAAACAAACTAGTTTGCCTCGCTGGAGAAACATTCAATTCATGAATAGAAATTGATAGCGATTAGAAGTTACGCCATCTCTTGTTTTGCATTTGAATTAAGTTCTTCTCTCTTTTGATTGTTATCTGTTACTCGAACTCGTTTGTCTGTTGCGTTAGAGAAACGTACAGCCATGCGGACATAAAAACTGCCTTTGTGTGTGTGGAAGAACAATGTACACTTTCTATTAATGCCTTAAGTTGAATGTTTATCTAATACTTTCCAATGTAAATTTCGGTTCAAAATGCTAAGCGTGTACGGTACACATACAATTACATTTTTCATAAATTTTATCATATCTTTATAAATATTGAGAAAGTTTCCTTTAAAAAGATGCATATTTATTTTATTAAGAAATTTGCATATGTACTGACAGTGTGGATATCAATCCGTCCTTTGCTTGTTTAAAAAATGAAACAATTATTTACTGAAACTATGTGCCCCATCTGACGGTGCAAATTTGACAGGTCTTTCAGGCAGTTTGGGGCTACCATCTATGAAAAAAATCTTGGTTTTTGCGGGCGATTCAACCATTTTGGCACCTAGAAGCACTTGCCTTAGAACCCGCTTTTGTTATGGCGATCACTTTATTCCAAAGGGTCACTTTCTGAGTCGATTTAAGTTTACCCCTGCTTTACCTGTCCGTCATGTTTTCTAGTGTTCAATCTATAGTTTGCTGCTTTTGAGATATTTTGATAAAATTGATATGTTTTATCTTAAGACCGGATGCTGCTGAAATTCGAATTGGATTGGGCAAACTTTTTCGACCACTTCCCATATGACACTGTATTTCGAAAAGTCATTGCATGATTAACAATGTTAAGCGAAATGGTATAGAGTACTTCATGGTGCGTCGTAACCCACTATAGTGTTTTTACTTGTTTAAAATTTTTTCTACCCAATTACAATTAAATTTTGCATATTTTCGTATGTAACTTGTGATGACATGAACACGTCTTCGGAAACCTGTAACTGCAATGGTAGAATGAATGGGAAGTAAATTGGAATTAAAATTTTATCGTTAACTATTTCTGTATTAAAGATACAGATGAACTTGATGAACATTTAAGTACCAAGTTTTTGGAGATATGTCTACAGAAGTGAAAGTTATAGATGAAAATCTGAAACAGTTATCGTTTTTTGCGCAACTTACATGTGTTTCTCGCATGTATTTGGGCAAAATGCAGCCTTTTTTTAGCATTGGATTTTTAATCTACTTTAGGAATATTTGTGCCGAACTTCAGTTTCCTACCTTCATTTTTGCGACTGTGGCAATTCGATCAAGATGGGGAATAAAAAAAAACCCCTTTTGATATGTAGAGACAGTTATATGCCATCGGCATGTCGAAAACTAGATTAGGTAAGTAAAAAGGTATTTTAGGTCTTGGCATACACTCTTTATAACCTTTTTTTTTTAAGTTCAAAAATTAAAAAGGATCGAAATGACGTACTCGGTAGTTCCAGGGTTAAAATGAAAGCGAAGTATATATTATTGAATCATAGAAAATCGAAACAAATGTGCGGATTTTCAGCTAATTAAAATGTGATTTTACCAAATCATAAGCGAAAACGCTGGAGTAGAGATTAAATTGCTTCTAAACTTCTTAAATTTACACTTTGTCGATATTGAATAATTCAAAGATATCATAAATCATTTATTTTTTTTTTTTTTTTTTTTTTTATTATTCATATTAAATGTTTTCTTTCATTTCCTTGCAAGAATGGTTTTTATGAGTTAGTATCTCGTTTATGTAAAGTAAAAGTAAACACTTATAGCTGATGAAACTGCCTTAGATTTCCGTTACACATTTACATTTTTAAGCACACTTTTAGATAAAAACTCACCATCACTTGCTTATTGTCAACGAATGTTTATTTTTGATTCCCCCTCCTCCGCTGCCCGCCGCCACTGCTATACGGAAAATGAAAGTTAAGCGTTTCTACTTTTAACGACCACATTCAAAACAAACCAACATGTTCATCTCCCGCCTTTGCTTTGCGTCGTAAGGTCCCAACCAACTGTTGTATGAAACCGTAACAACAACTTCCTGTTCCTGTCTATGGGGATTTCTTTACATAAACACCATTTTGGGGGATGGCTTTTTTATAAAAGAACAAGTTTTCTAATTTTACAGCAACAAGAGCCCCAACTGTTTACATGCTGACAAAGAAAAACTTCATCTTTTTTTTTTTCTCGTTTTCTTTTTATTTTTTTTGCTCTTACGCCTGGATATACTTAAAAATTCAAACGGTTTAGTAAATTTGCACATGTGCGCACATCCTACGAACGTAATGTTAATTCCGGCCAAGAATACATCTTAGAACTGATGAAGCATATTTTATAGGAGGAATATTGCTGTTACTGTCTGTCAGTCGGGCGAATGGAAGTAGATCTTCAGTACATAACTTAATTTCCGTTAAACAATGCCGTAAATTATATTAAACTTTATTTGATAAATGCCAAGCAAAGCAAACGATTTCGATACTTTAACGAAGAAGAACAAAAACAGATTTTACGGCAAATTTTCTTAAGTGATTCGATTAGGTTTTCTAAAAGTGAAAGTTATTCAGAGATGAATACAACAATCACAAAAAGAAAAAGTAGTAGAAAAGTCGTTCCTTAAGAGTAAAAACTATTGAAAAAGTCGTTTTCAAAACTATCTTTTACTCAGTGTACTTACACAGAAAAGTAATAGCTTACTGGGATTAGATACTTTTGCGTAGAAACACAACTTATCCGAATATTTCAATAGTTCATGAAATGTTATTTTAAAAGTTTTCTTTACCTTATTAATATTGAAGATTTATATGAAAATAGTTGCGCCGGACATCAATATATGCGTGAACCATACTGTTATACATATCCATATTTGTACACATATGAATATACGTGTTTGCACGACGAAGCAATATTAATGACGGACGGCCTGAAGGTCGTTTCAAGTGCTGGAAATAGAAGACGATACACATCGCGTTTTGGAATTTGACAGTAAATTTAGATATCTTAGAGCACGATACAGACACTTGAGTGTACTACTAACCTTAGACAACTTAGAGTGTTAGCATCCGCAACCATTTCTTGTACAAAATTAGGCTAAATTATGAACAGGGTAAAGCAGGAAATAGCATATGCAGCATAGGTTATATGCAAATGATGTGTGCATCGTGCCCGTCTGGGCGCTAAAAGTACCGCAAAGCAAACCTTTTCTATCTAAGCTAGAAGTAGTTCAAAGGCTTTCCAAATTACGAGCCCACCGCATACCTAGCTACAGTAACCGTGGTAGGAATGTTTTCCAATCTGGTTGCTCCTGACATGAAAGACAAAGATGAACAGACGAAGGCGATTCTCTGCAAAGTGAATCCGGCAGAATGTGTTAACGTAGAGGCAACAGATGGGGAAAATCTTTAATCGAAAACCTTAACCACAGACGTTGAACAGCGAGCTTAAAGAAAACAATGACGAAGCAATAAATACATATACAAAACATCACTCAATAAGTTCGCAGGAGATCGTGGTATATGTCGGCACTATTGACGCAACCATACGACGTTTAGATAAATTCATACGTATAAGGTAAGGTTTTCTCTATTCTTCCTTCCAATCTATAAACCACCCAAAGCAGTCTTTATTCCAGCTTTGCTAAGTGTATTTAAGTTCAACAAAGAGAAATTATTTAAGCAAACGCTTCGTATTACCCATGAGTTTCTTTTGTGGGTGCTGTAAGGGGGAAAAAATGTTGCCACAAAATTCGAGATATTCGTTCTAGGTTTTTGCGTTGGTATTGTGAGCGCGAATTATTGTCATATGTCTATCGTATAATGAAAACACAACTTTAATCATTTAAGTTCTCGATACGGTCGAATTCCGATTTCATATTTACCCACCTAGTACATCTATTAAACTTTGGTTCACAGTTGAAAATAAAAGTAATGCTTAACTGCCTTCTTATTCATGGTGGAAGCTTATGTAAGTTTCAAAAAAGTATATCATTTTTTTTTTTTGGTCCCAAATTGTTTCAGTACTACATATACATGAATGCCGTTGGCATGGAAATTTCCATATCAAAAGCGGCGTTGTGTCATTCAAGCAATTTGATAATTTACGAAAAAGTTTTACATTAAGCCGATGGGGAATCCTTTCATATGCCAAATGAAATGAATTAAATTTGCATTTAAACAAATTAAAGGCAGAATAACATTCGCATCCATATGTCTTGCATACAAAATATACAATTATTGTTGGGAGAGCACATGAAAAAAATATCCTCAGGCTATTGAATGTTAAGCTGCTAACAGACAGGACTTTCATGCATATTACATGAATCCTTCTCGTTTATAAATCTTGCGGTAAACGAGAAGAAAGTTGAAAAGTTAAATAATTTACCGCATTCAGTAGGATTTGAGGTTTTTAAGGTGGACCCATCCAACAATGCACATAAACATATATAATGTTTCAAAATAGATGATTACGACGTTGATTAGTACGACAATAGTTACGACATTGCGTTTATGTTGTTTATATATATATATATATATATATATGTGTGTGTGTGTGTGTAATACATTTATAGAATTCGAAATTCACATCAATTAGGAACACATCTTCTATAAGAAGAAAATTCAATAGAAATTTTTGACATACAGCCAGCCACTAAAGGCAACTGCATAGGAAGGATAAAGAACTTTATGGCCTTTGCGTTCGCCTCGTTTCCCGTTCACACTTGAAACGCGTTATGTAGTTCGCAGTAAACAGTAAATTACGTCGTTCGTATGCATAGGAATTTTCTTCAGTTATCGCTATGCTTTTAATAAGTGTGATTGTATAAATGCTTTCCTTTCTTCTGTTATGTGCACTTCAGGCAATCGTATGCTCCCCTCTACGTC